GGCATCGTAGTCGGCATCGTCAGTGAGTCTCGCCATTCGTAGCACCATATTACAACTCGTCAAAGAGACTCTAGGTCTTCCTACCAATATGACCGAGTTGCGAAAACAAGGTCAAACAAAGCTTAATTTTGATTTTTGAGCTTACTTCCATTCCGAGTGAAGGTGTTTGGTGAAGTGATTCGAGGGTCGATTTCTTCGCATATACTTAATTTTGATACTAGAGTACCTTTCATTTCGTTTGAAGAGGCGAGTGGAAGAGATTCGTAAGTCGATTCCACCGGAAGCTGTGATGGTATTGCCTTGGAGCCTTGGTTGTAGCTTCGTGCAAATAAGTCGCAGGGCGGCGCTCCGGGAACCTATTCTCACAAATATACAACCACAGCTCCAAGCCAACCCCCCTCCAGCTTCCGGTGGAACCAACTCGTCTCTCCAAACGAAATGAAAGGTACTCCAGCATTAATCTATCAAGGGATTCTTCCAAACTGAGTTTTTCTACAAAGCTTAATTTTGCTTTGATTTTTATCCGGAAATCGCAGTTAATTTTTTTCCTGAGACCTCTTAACGTTCAGAATGCTTGAGCTTAGCCTCAGATCGTAGAAGGGAATATGCAAAACTGATATTCTCCTGTTATTTAAACTAAAAGAATAGCCCAGTTTATGAATAATTTGTTCATCTTCTTTTTATTGCACTAATTTTCAGAATACAGGCACTCCTTCAAAGTACAAAGATTCGGCGAACCTACCTAATACTCTAGACGACTTTATGGACAACTTAATAATTCATGAAACCGGTGGTCATTCTGATACCAGGCAAAACGATTCACATTATAAAGGTGTCCCCTATCATGCTTCCGGGCTCGGACAAGACTCAGAGCTCGGAGATTATTTTGACTTGGACTACTTAGCAAAAGAGGGAGCAGAAGAGCAGCAGGACAAGTCTGATGGTCTGACCAGCAAAGATAAAAGTCTAAAAGGCCGTTTCACTTGGTTCCAATTACCATCAAATAGTAATCTAAGTCCTCTAAGGGATGAGGACACGTGCAAAATGCTTAAGCCATATAGATCGTCCTCAGGTGAACTGGGTGCAATTTGTCGAGAAGGAAAATTGGAAAGGCAACTCTCTGAAGAGTTTGGAGAGGAAGAAGACGACATTTACTGTGTTCCTCCAACGTCGAACAATATATCGCAGTCTTGTTCACCACCGTCCATAACGAAAGATGTAGAATCATTTTATTCACAAATGGCCAACTTGAATGTATTGCCCTGTCAGAACCCCGAGCAAATGAAATCTGCCACAACAGTATCTTTACAACCCCTTACTCCCACAAGGAGACCAAGTGCCTCAGAAATAAGGCCGACTCCACCACCTCCCCGTTCTAGGTCCTTATCTCCGGCA